TATGAAAAATTCTGTTTCAGAACTTCATCACTGTCGCGTCGCGTTCTCCTTTGATTTTTTCAAAAGTGTTCGCGCTCACGACTATTACCCGCCAAATTAATATTGGGTAATTAGTTCAAAGGTTTACTTTGCTCGAACGTTAGCAAACCTGCGTCATGCGATGCGATTGACGACTTTGTTTTAGACTCGAATGATCGTTCGCGATTCGAAGACTCTGGTGTCTCCTCGTACGGTTGGAAACTGTGTGTGTGTGTTGTTCACACGAGAGACTCCTTGCGAATGTCTCTCGATTGCCGAATTTTTTCTGGAGTCCGCCGTGACTCCCCCGCCAAGTACAAGAAGGCACGCTGATTGGTTTTTCACGTACGCACAAATTACCAATCAACGTGCCCTTCCATTGCGCCCTTAGCGCGCTTTTCCTTGGAAGGAGTGGGGCCCTACCTGCGGGTGCGTGGAATCTTCGCTGTCCTTCGGTGACGCGTCGGAAATTCCCGCCAGGTCAACCCTCGGCCGAGAGTGCCGTTATACGCACGTGTGGATTGACCCTTCAGGAATACCTGGTTTATGACACATCTTCGGTTATCGAGGACGCGGATAAGTCGAAATTCTAAAGGCATTGTTCTGTAAGAAATGACTTATTTCTTCGCGGAGCTACGAAGCGTCTTTGTTCTCAAAAATAACCTTCTCGTGCGAGCGTGCCATAAACCCGGTCAACGAAGACCCCATGCGTTCCGTACCTGCGCGACGGAACAATCACAGTGAAGCAAAAGTGTCATGTTCCAAACATGTCTCTCTCTTTATTTCCAAAAACGAGTAACCAGTCTTCACTTTAAAAGAAAAAAGGAAAACTCTGTTTAACCAAAAATCTCTGCACCCTGGTACGTCCTTCAGACTCTCAACAGTCAGAGTTTGCTACTTGACAACCTCAAAGAAACGTACGTCCTTCAGACTCTCAACAGTCAGAGTTTGCTACTTGACAACCTCAGAGAATCCTGCGAAACAGATTTGGTCATACAGAAGATAGTCCTAGTTTGAAAGAAAAGGACAACTCTCTTTAACCAAAGATCTCTACACCCTGGTACGTCCTTCAGACTCTCAACAGTCAGAGTTTGCTACTTGACAACCTCAAAGAAACCTGCGAAGCAGATTTGGTCATACAGAAGATAGTCCTAGTTTGAAAGAGAAGGATGTCAAGTAACTAATTTGAGCATCTTTTTCCAAGACGTACCGCAGGTGATCCGTGCAAAGGGAGCCTTGCGATAGTTCAAAGACGTTGCACATGATCATACAGCGTTCACACGTGCGTTACTTCTCGCGATCAGGATGGCTGCGCTCAGAGTCGCATAAGGAACATTGCACGTGGCGTGTAATTTAGGTGCGTGTTTCTAACACCATAAATGCAGCGAAACGCTGCAAATAAAACGCGATTCCCGCCGTCATTACCACGACAATCATCAACAATGATGTTATCGCTACTTATAGTACCCTTGAACATGTGAATCGAATCAACGAGGACGCGGTTTCAGTAGTAACACATGGCTCAATTGTGACTTTGTATTTTTTTTTTCATTTTTGTTTCGCGATTGTGTAAGAGCATGGTAACAGGTTATCTAATGTAAATTATTACATTTTTCGCGTCAAATTAACCCTTTAACCTACAACGTGTCAGACTCGTGGCAGAAATTCTGGCCAAGATGTGATATTAGTAAGAAAAATTCATTGTAATCCTAACTTTCCTTTTCATTTGTAAAATTGAGGATTACTAAATGTAATTAGTCTGTAACAGATTGACTTTTGTTATCTGATGCAGTACTAAAACGGTAAATGGCTGACGCTTAGATGAATAGTCAGAAAAAAAATCATAGTTTAAAGGGTTAATCACCGAAGTGATCACTCGAGAGCTGAAAATTTCTCGGTTTCTAACAATTTTTGGTAAGTTACTGTTGGAATTCTCGTCGTTTCATTTTACACGATTTAGTGGTTTATTCGAGGAACATTCGTGAGGTACATTTTGAAAATATTTTGAAAACTGAATTTTTTGGAATAAAAACAGTGTACATCTTTTTCGAATTTGTATCTACAAAATGTGTCGCTTGGAACATTGCTACATTTCAGGAACATTCGTCAAGTGTCTCAGAAATAGTCTTTGGAGTCTAAGTTCATTTCTCTGAAACTGTAAGCATTTGCTCTAAAACGCTCATCTCCGAAGATACAATGAAACTGATTCGTAAATCATTACATGCTTCGTGGATGTTCCTCGTGAATGATCGAAATGTGTCGTCCGGTTAAAAAGAGGGGAGAAAAAGATATGTATACAAAAGGGATAGATAAATCAATAGAGGTAACTATATTGATGTATTATACACACATTTATATAGATTAAGATCGGCAAACAATCAAAAATTGCGGTATACGCATGTCTTTATACATAATGTATGATGGTCTACACAATTACTCGCGTTGTCGTTGTTAAAATTCGTATTAAAACGTTGTGGGGAGAAAAGAAAATGAAACGGGAAGAACAATAAATATATCTCCAACACTGCGTTGCATTATCTTCGAAACCTGTGTCGCTTTTTTTTTTTATTCTATTTCATTAGAAACACTCGATTGCACCAAACGTTCTCGTCTTGTTCAGTCTTTCATCAGGGTCCGCGTAAAAAGATACTATACAAAAGTGTTCCACGTACAGAAATATAGGTTCCATATTCCCTCGTTACGGATATACAATTACGTCTGAAAAGTTCGGAACTATCGTAGTTACGTAGGACGATAACTGCGAGAGTATAATTATCGTTTCGAACATCTGCTGTAAGAAACTTAACGGTAGACGGAATGGTTCAGCGTGCAGATTCCACGGAACAGCACTTTAATTTGGCTCATTCGTTTCTCCACTTACAAAACACTCGCTTTCTCTAACGTCTAATGATAAAATTTACATTCAACAACTATCGAGACACGCCGCTGCTCAGGACAATTAACCGTATCGTCGATTAAAACAACGAAGAAATGGCAGTGACAGTAAAACAAGGTAATTCGCATAACATAATACACGTTCGGTGTCTGCTAGAACTATTATCAGCAGAGGTACTCTCAGCAAACACGTGTCGCTGACGCGTGAACGCTACGTACGTACGTTAGGCTAGGTGATCTATATCAACATTGAAATCAATTCAAGAAACTAACCCGTCCCCTACGTTTCGCTCGCACAAACACACGAAGAAAAACGATTGAATCACTGAACTGGGATATGTCTGATCTGCAAGATGACTATTTTAACCGATCGAGGTGTGCACGTCTGGTCAGAATCTTTCTCACTAGGCCTACTGCTTAAAATGGCAGCCGCCTACAGTGTCACGACAAATACTGATTGTGATTGACATTCCTAACCGTACATGAGAAATACACGACCAACATGATCGCTCATGTGAACATCTATTGAAAGAGGCTCATGTCACTGAATAATTCAAGATATTCCGTTCGCAAACGTAATTGATCAAGTACGAAAGAATGAGAGGTTAGAAGCACATAGGAATGGGAATCAATGGCAGCCCTCTGATGGGAATTGCCGGAACTATTCCCACAGAGTCAGGCTGAATCGCTCATGAAGATGATCCCCTGATTGTTTTGAGCAGCGTGAAAAAAAAGGAAAACAATAATTGAAAACTCATAGAGCTCAAGTCCTCCTGGCGGCATTGACCCGTGAGCAAAGACAACGGATCTACGTTTATTAGTTTTCCCTTTATTTGTTCACTATATGCAAAAAACGCTACAGCTTATACATTGCATATACAAGTATGCGTTTGATAATAAAACCTAAAACAACAGAGTTTTCCATTCCAGCGTCGAGAAAAAAGAACAACAGTTTCCGATAAATTAAAGTGCAAACTCGCCTCTCGGTTGTCGATCACACCCCCTCCCCTCCGGCCGTTCTCGCAGCTACCCCTCCGCCCCGCCCCCACCTGTTTTGTAACCACACCGTCACATAGTACGTCAAAAACCCTCGCTTTGCACCGTTACAGAATCCAACTCCTGGGAATGCACAATTTTCCAATTTTTCACGTGTAAAATTCAAACCGTCACTGGATACGCTGTTACTCGATAACAAAAGGAAGAAAAAAAAAAAGAGGAAAAAAAATGGACACACCGTATACGCGTGCTCCATTGTAGAGATATCGTGGCATGATCGTTCGTTCTAAATAATCGTACCACTTCCTGATGCCTTTCGAATCGATCGTTCGAAATTATACTGTAGCGAAGAGTCATCCGATGACCATCATCGGCCAACAACCTTTGTCGACCATTGAAACGATCCTGTACCAATGAGTATCAATTTAACCAATCGATTCGAAGCTCGTCAGTAAGTGCCGCGATTATTTTCACAATGTCCTTCGAATCATCCGCCGGAAGAGCACTGACGTTGCTGTAAACGAAGTCAGGAATCTGTCCTTAAAAACTGTAGTAGTAACTCTGGTACAAACATCAAACGAAGAAATATGTATTCTCTCTCTCCCTCTTTCACACTCTTGCCCACCCTCTCCCATCTCTCTCTCTCTCTCTCTTTCGCTCTTGTGCCATATATCTGGGGATTCCTCTACAATAGTGCGTTATTTACATTTATCATTGATCAGGCCACCGTCGTCCATTCATTAACAAAGAACAGATCAGCTTTCGCGGCAGACGGAAAGAATTAGCGAAAATGTACTCAAACATCTACGCTGAAACGAAACAACGTTAAGAAACACTAGGTATTCCTCAAATTCATATAAACATCATCGTCGACGTCGTCACCGTCATCATTATCATCATTGTAATCTTCATTATCAGCCAAAAAAATAAACGTGCGACTCGGTAAAAAACTGCAGAAGGCAGCGATTATTTCGTTTTAGAGGAGCTTGTTTTCCCGTGGGGCCAAGTGCTCATTACGTCATACGTATTTGAGTCATCTCAATTCCCAAAGAGTCTCTCAAGTTACACCAAGCATGGAAGGATACGCGATTTTACAGGTCTGAGCCTTCGTGGAATTTGAAGTAGTGAATCTTCATAGCTTTGTTGTTGGGATACTTGACTTTGCATCGTGGGCAAACAGCACCAACCGCACCCTCCACCGTGTACGAGTTCAAATCCATCTCCCTGTGGAAGTTGGTACTGTTGTGCGCGTCGTAGACGGTGTTGTGTGCCGTCAACATGTGATTCGACATCGCAGGTCTGTTGAACATGTGTCTGTCGCACAGTGTGCAGCTGAAGATCATGCTGGTGAACTTGGGCGGAAGGTTTTTGTGCTTGACGGTGAAATGCTGACGCAGATTGGGCACGCCAGGGAACTTCTTGTAGCAGATGTTGCAGGAGTACGTGCCATCGGTGCTTGGAATTGGCACGCACTCGTTCATTGAGATCTTCGCGTGGTTCTTCATCAGGTTAGATTTGTTGTGCATCAGCTGCTTATGCTTGTACAGCACGCTCATGTTGGCGAAGAATTTTCTGCATACGTGACACATCACCGACTTCTTGCCAGCGTTCATCGCGTCCATGGCGTATGGTTTCTGCTCTTCCAGTAACTCTTGCTTCACCCTCTTGGGCCTATGCTGCTCCTCCTGGGTCATTCTTCTCGTGCTGTTGTATACCGATTGTGGCCTCTGAGTGAATATGTTGCCGTGCAGATTCAACTTGTGACGTTGCAGCGCCTGGTTGCTGCTGAACAATTTGTGACAGATGCTGCACAAGGCCTGGCTGCTCCCAGAATTCTTGACTACCGACTGGAACTTCGTGACTGCAACTGCAGTAGCTTTGTGGAGTTTCTTGTGTCTCGTTAGTACCTTCTTGGAGCTGTACAGCTTCCCGCAGATCTCACAGGGGAATCTTGATTTCCTGATATCGCTGAGGATGGGATGAGCCTTGTGCCACTGTAGGTGAATGTTTAACGTCTCCCTGTCGGAGAACACGTTCGTGCAGAGCTCACATTGAAGTTCGTTACCTGAGAAATTCTTCTCAGCCTTGTTGCGGGCACAGTGCACGTCCCACAAGTGTTCCCTCAGCTCTGTCACGTCGTTGAACTTGTCACTGCAGACCTGGCATTGGAAATTGCCAGTAGGCTTTGTGGGAGGTGGATTCGGGAAGGATTTTCGCGCTCTAGCCGGACGGCCTGTATTTGTGTTAAATACTTCCTTTTTGGGCGAGATCATTGGTTTCTGGTCCTCGTTCATCAAGTGTTGCGTATTGAATCGAGAGTTCAACCGACTGTGCCAGCTCCTGTGTATCTTCAGTGATGCTTCCTCAGCGAACTCCTTGCCGCAGATGTCGCACTTGTGGCCAGCCTGCAATTTCTCAGTGTGAGCAGTACGGAAGTGAAGGTTCAAATTTGCTTGAAAGAAGAAAGACTTTGGACATTTAGGACAAACGAGCATGGCCTTCGAGGAGTTCACATGCTCGAGCGCGATGTGTCGATCGCGTGTCTCTTTGGTCCTGAATAGCTGTGAACAATGGGGACAACAAACGTGGTTTCTATTGAATGTGTGAATATTTCTTATGTGCCTCTTCAGGTTTGCGGAGTTAGAGAACATTTTACCGCATAAATCGCACTCGTTCTTTTTCGAACCAGGATCTGAGCTAGCGCTCGCGTTCATCGAGTTCGAGTCTTGCGAATCATCCTCTACAGTACCATACTCCACACACGAGATGTTCGCGTTTCTTTCATTTGGGTCCTCTATGCCATGGTCTTTCATATGAATCTCTAATGCACCAGCGCTGCTGAACATGCTACGACAAATCACGCAAGAATAGATCTTCACCTTCAAATGAAGATTTCTGTGCTCCATTAGCTCGGTTCTAGTAGCGAATTCTAGGTTGCAAAGGGCGCAACTGTATCCTTTACTGTCCGACAGCCTGACCGTGTTCATTTCAGCCTCGAACGTGTCCCAGTCCCGGATAGGTGTCGAGATGCTCTGCATGGATTTGGAATCATTCTTGTCGTTGGACTTCGTCTTATTACGATGCGTCTCATGATGCTCCAAGTAATCGTTGGGAGATCTAAACTTGCCCCAACATTCAGAACACGTGTAGACCTTCTTCTTGTGACTCTGTGTAACATGATTCTGGAACTTTGTGAAGATGAGATACGTCATACCGCAAAGAACGCATTTGTAGGATGTTCGTACCTCGGGTAGCAAACGTTGACACAAGTCTCTATGCTTTAACATATTGGGTTTGTACCTATAGATCATACCGCACAAGTCGCACACATGATTATGCGCAGGATCGCCATTCTTGTACGGGCGAGGTATGACCCTAATTGGTTCAAGCGATTTCTTTGTTACTTCCTGCTTGGCAGGTGGCAGAGGAGTCATTGCCTTTAGCTTAGGAGGAGATCTCGATGGTGATACCAATTCTTCGTACTGTTTATCCGAGTGTTTCAACAGATGGCTAAGCAATTGCTGTCTGTTTTGCATAGAACGCAAGCACATATTACACGTGAAGTACTTCTCTTCGCCGTGTTTCGGTATCACCAGTGCAATCTTCATTGCACATTCAAACGACGCTCCACAGTGTAGTTTATACATCGAGCGATCCGGGAATTCCGTTAAACATGCGATACATGTGTATGGTCTTAGATCTGGCATATGCTGACGAATATGCGATAGCGTACTTCTACGGTCGACGAAGGATTGCTGACAAGAGTAACACGAGAATGTTTTCAACTGACTGATAATATTTTGCTGTACTTGCGTCAACGGAGCATCTTTTTCCATGGTCATTAATTCGTCCTCCAAATCTTCAACGTGTTCCTCGTCGTCTTGCAACTCCAAATTATTGACATCACCATTCTGTTTGTCACTGTGAAATCTTTCCATATGTTTTGTGTAGGTATATTTAGAATGTAAATTGATTTGACAGTGCACACATTTCTGTTTGAAAACGCGTGCCCCCCGGAAATGTGTGTGCGGACCCCTTCTGACTTTTTTCTTGCTTGCTGATCCAGATGCATTGGACTTTTGCGTAGAATCAGCTTCCATAATCCTATCCTCCTGAGTTGAGAGGGGATTCAACAAAAGTTCACTACCAGTAACAGATTCTATTTCTATCGTACAGTCTGTGTCATAGTCCTCTGGTGGTTCTGCTTTTACACACATGTCCATCTCTTTTGTCAATACCGGTTGATCTCCCTCTGATATTATTTCATCATCAGTTAATTCCTGAACTTGATTACTGATTGCTAAATGATTTATATTCTCTACAAGATTTGTGGATTCCTAAAAAACAAAACATATCTTTAATATGTCCTTATATTCTATATTTTATACCAAAGCTCATAGTACTTACCATGTCTGAATCATTGGTAGATTCTGAAAGTACCTCAATGTTATCTTCACAAAAGTCTAAATCAACTGGTTCATTCTTAATAGTTACAACCTGAACAAACAAAACCAGTACATTGATTACAATTACTCACATCATAATAAACACAGATCAATAAAACATGTATATTTACCGTTGGACTTGTTCGTAAATGGCTTTCAAACCATTCGTGTAATTTGTCTTGGGAACGAAGACATGCTTCCTTATAATCATGCCACTCATTCACATTTCTAACACATTGCTCACATATTTGTGTGGATAACTTATCCGTGGTTAAAATCTAAAAGATGTGTAGACCCGATGAAAATATGGATATCTCAAAACTTTGATTATAATTTATACATTTTAAGAAAACAATAGCTATAAAAACACATTCCGTTTGATATTTGTCAACTTAACAACAACTTGTAATGGTAAAAATAAGCAAGACGCTCATAATAATCCTAGTCAATGGTTCTGTCTTAGATATGATGCATTATGCACCTAACCTCAAAGCACACTCACCGTATACAGGAATAAAGAGCGATCGGTACAAAAATACGCGATAGAGAAGAAACATTTGAAAAGAACAAAAGTTGCTAATCGGCGATAATTCACACGCACCTGTATTGACAAGCAAGCTTGTATCTTACTGGCCAACGAAACCGGAGAGTCTTGCCCTCCGAACACCGACGACTTCGGATCATCGGTGGACAGGCAAAGCCTGCACACGTTTTCCATGTCCTGCAACTCCACCACCTCGTCCATCGCGGACGTCCACGCTTGTGGGCCTTCCTCACAGAGTATCAGGTAGGTGTTTTGCCTGCCAGGGAAGCGCGCTTCTCAGGAACAGGTTAGAGACGCAGCGTTTTGTTTGTACGACGACATTTGAAACTGAGCCCGAGCGGTCCATTTCAATACGTTCCTGGCGTGCAAGGAACGAGTCAGGAGACGCGCGCGCTAGACAGAAGTACACTTTCCTTCTTCGTGTGATATTTATTTAACAGTCGGCGGGTGTTATCACGATTCGCGAGTGTCAAATGTACAGAATGTGTCGTCAGCGATAAAGAAAACGGATTTATATACTTTGACGTGGACAAGCAGTACATTGTGCAGTTTGCTTCGAAAGTTTTCTGCGGAACAGTGATACAGATTAAAATGGATTAAAACAGGGGAACAGAGGTCATGATGGTAAATAAAAAATGTCTTTTGTTATATGGTTGGTCGTGTGGTCGTTTATTTTATATATATTTCTCAATATACACTTGACATGTAACTGTTTGTCATTTGTACACGTTGATAAGATACATTGTACATGCACAGCAGGTAACGTACACGGTTACATCTCGTTCAATTCGCGATTTAACGAAATCAAATAACCGGCGTTTCTCAATTTCGAATTATCGGTAACAAATAATCATCCGGTGATTATAAAAGTAACACGGTATATAAAATCGAAAAGCTTGAAATATAAATCGGGCTGATCGAAAATATCGTATCATATATAGGACCGCTATTACATAGAAAAACGTTAGAAACTATGCATGATCACGTGACTAATACAACCAATCATAACTACGCAATTGCACGCACACCAATTTCATCTAAATGAAAACGAAACGGGATAGACTTCGAGAATAAAACACGATTGCACAAACTTGTCTAACGAATTATCGATCTAAATAATTGTCACGATTAAAATACGTATACATATGAATCTACATATTGCACTTAGCTCTGGACTTAAGTACTTTAATCAATTATACCCTAAGCTACGAGAAAAAGCGTTTGAACTAAAAATTATTGAGCGCACTCGTTCAACGCGTTGTATATATGGCAACTATGTAATATTTTTTTTTATTCGGAAAGCTCTTCTACACGGCGGTTACTCTAAGACCGCCAATCTACTTGGTACATGTTGAGCTTTCGCGCGACATCTTATTAATTTCTCGATACCAGATCGAATACACCTTTCGTAATTTTTTTTTCTGTTTTTTTCTTTTTGCTCTTTTTTGTAACACTGCAACGATCATATACATTGTGCAGATTAGAACCATCCAGACATTTCCTAAATCTACGTTAAACATCTCGCGGATGCCTGTCCCCCGCGTCAGCTATTCACATTAATATACAATACAGGATGAATCATCGATAAATAGATTTCTATACACGCATCGTCAACGAGAGGTTTCCTGTCGATCATTTTCAAAAATATCCACTCCCTTCTCCCAATATAACTTCTTCATTATCGACGATTAACAAAGGTACTCTTCCGGTGGAACGAGACGTGGCTTCTGCGACATAGAAATTTTCTCCAATTGCTAAATTTGAAATGTTTAACGTTCGAATATGATGGCGCCACGTGTCCCGTGTCCAGTATCGCATCGTATCGTTCGAGCGCGAACTTCCCGCGGACGAAGTATACGCGAATCGTCGAAAATCAATCTCTCTCTCCACGAATTCTAATTCGTAACGAGACGACGTTTTCGACGATTTTCACGGCGGATCATCACGACGAACGCTCGAACGCCCACGACAGATTCGCGCCATTTTAACGGCCAACCAGTTCCGGTTCATGTTCCACCATTCGTCTGATGTATCGCAGGGAAGTGTGCGCGTTGAGCTATTGCGCAATTCAGGTTGTCAGGCAATTGGTGTTGAAGCAGGAATTCCTTTGTGATTGCTGACGTACGTAGTCCTGCACGTTGAATTTCGTGTCGTCTGGATCGTTGCTTTTCCTCGCCTTCAGCTCTCTGAAATTAAACGAAACGACGCTTGGTACATGACTGGATACACTATTTTAGAGCCTACCGGAGCCTATCACAGCTAACCAATTGCGTAGAGGTACATTAGACCCCTGTCTAACCACAGTTCTACCATGTTCCTTTTTCATTTTCTTTTGTCGTCTCATACTGATATCTATGATAGGTTGACGACGATGGATTGAAGGATTCAGAAGTACCTAGCAACGGCCAAGAAGGCCAATTCAACGTTCAGGCCGGTTTTAGCTGAGGTTTCCATAAACGGGACTTTGTACTCTTGCGCCAACCGTTCACCGTCTTCTCTCTTCACCACGCGTTCCGTGCCGCAGTCAGACTTGTTACCTAAAAACAGTCGTTTCAATTCGTTACGTTTCGAATTATTAATCGAGACTTTCGGGTTTAAGCCCTGTCCAATTGTTTTTGCCTTCCTAACGGACACGGCTTAAACGCAGATGCCTCGATTAATAATTGAGTCACTCAGAAGCCAAACTGACTAACTCCGTCAAATTATATTTTTTTTTACTTATCAAGAGTTAAGCACCAAGCATGTGCTTTGATACTACAATTGGAAGAATTTCAAAATCATTTTGGCTTCTGAGTGGCTCAATTCCAATAATCTAGGCTGTGAAAGCCTCAAGACTCTCATTGTTACGTTTAGGTTAGGTTATGTTCAATTTGATAGTCTTGAATTAAGATGTTTCTGCGATTAAGTGTTCTCGATGAGAGAACGAGAAGAAAAATGAGAACTGCTTGCTAACAATGTGTCTAACTTGTCTATCTACAAATGATAGCGATACAAATTTTAATTGAAAATACAGGTTCCTTACAAAGCTGTAGATTTAACAAACTCACTGTCCAAGGAGTATGAATACAAAGTTAACACGTTTGCTATCATGTTTTGCGTAAGGGTTCAGCGTCACATTTGCATAAGAGGAATTACGTTTCAATTTTCGGTAAAATGGATAGACGAAGTCTCCCCTGCATTCAGCAGAAATGCTTTTGTATAACACAAAGGGTGGCGGAATAGCTTGCCTGGTCAGCACATATTAACCTTTTGGGTGCTCACTAAAGTGACCAAATGTGCCTACTTATTTTATGACGTCAGTTGCTTGTAACTACTGTCAATAACGTGGAAACATGTTTTATACGTATATTTCTAGTTCTTTTTATCTATTTTTTTTTATATGAATGATCCCATCTGTAGCTCCTATAAAGCAAACTGTTAATTTCAAGCATTTCCAGTTACCAGTATAACATACAAGCTAATCACTCAAAGGGTAATCAGTACACATGCAGAAACATGTGTTCTATTGTGTAAAATTATTAAAATAGAAGAATGTGCTGACCTAATCATCCAAACAAATAGGTTAAGTTTCTTAATTCAATTACTTTCGTGACAATTCAAACATAGACTTCTTGTAAAGACAAAACATATGTGTGACAACGAGTTCAGACTGTCCTGAGTACATTCCTTACATGTAAATAACCCTTTAATTATCTTCATAAAAATTCCAACACAGACTTGTGTGTATTTAGATGAGTTCAGACTGCCCTGAGACATTCTTGTATGAATGAAAGAGCAGCGAAAATGTTAAGACACAACAAAAACGATTTTCCGTTTCACCATCCAACCCACTGCTACTAAAACAAACATCGCTATTCCCGCAAATTACGTAGCAACGTAGAAGAAGAGCTTTCATCAACGACGCTGTTTCATAGACCCCCTCCGTTCACTATCTAACATCTCACGATCTCCGCGACCTCGCTAGACTCAACACAGTTAATCGATCATCCAATCCAGCCAGCAAACAGTCCTCGATTAGTGCTCCAACTCTTCTCGGAACATTCTCCTCGGCTTTCTACGAAAGCAAGAAACGCCGCGGAACTATGCAAGAACCAGTCGGACTTATCGATCATCGCGGCAACTTTCTCAGAAATGGGACAACAAAGAAGGCTCACTTGGATACGTTTCGTTCCTTCTCGGTTTTGTCAAACAATCGGCACTCACCGAGTAGCATGATGACCACGTCCTCGTTCGCGTGTTCCCGGATTTCGCTCAGCCAGGCTCTGATGTTGTCGTAACTCGTCTTGTTCGTCACGTCGTACAGCAATAAAAGAGCTGAAAGAAGTAATGATCGTTGTGCAACCGGCCGTGATCCTGGTAATTGGTAGACACGTGGAAACAAAAGCTTCTGTGTTACGTTGTTCATATTTCATTGTGCGTTCGTTGAGGAAATAGCAAGCGTGTCTATCTTGTTGCGCGATTTTTCGACCGTAGCTTAGGTGAAGCGAGACGTTCCGAGTAAGGTAGATTGAAGTGGAGGAAAATTGAACGTATGTTTTGAGACACGTTTGGAACAAACGAACGAAAGCTCGTTTGTCCCCCTTTCCAAAAATTCTATATATTCGTGCTTGTTTAGAATCGAATTTTGTTGAAATAGGGAGCGAACGCGTATGTTTTGAGACACGTTTGGAACAAACGAACGAAAGCTCGTTTGTCCCCCATTTCCAAAAATTCTATATATTCGTGCTTGTTTAGAATCGAATTTTGTTGAAATAGGGAGCGAACGAGCATTCGTTCGGTTGGTCTAAACGCACCTTCTGGAATATGCACGATTCTAGGAATATTGTTCGAATGGAAATTTGTTAATCAGTCGCTGATACGCCGTACATTTTTCTTTTTTTCACCAAAGTTAGGTGAAGCAAGATAGTCTGAGTAGGCAAATTGAAATAGGAGAAAATTACGCTTTTGTAATAGACATGCTTCCAGGAATACCGTTCTGATGGAGATTTTTGAATCAGTCACTGATATCTAGCACATTTTACTTTGTTTAGAGTAGTCTTTCGTGGCTGCTTCAGTGTCTCATCTACGTTTAGCTCTTTTATTCAGCTGCTTTTTGAATTGCTGAGAATTGCGTCTCGTTCTAATGAAAGGTGGAGCCTGGAATCCTCTCTATCTTACAAATCAAATTACTTGTACCCATCTTTATCCTCTATCTATCTTTTCTCGTCGTTTTGCCACACTTTTAAACTACAGTACGTAACAAAAGTTCTAGGATTTCATCTTGAAGTTTCTTTTTTAATTTTCAAATATTTTAGGCATTTCGCTTCACTCAGCAAATTTGCCAATTTATGCAGGTATCATGCTTCAACTCTCACAGTATTCCATTTCGTCACAGTAAATTATTAAACTCAAATTCTACGAACTTTTGTTACATACTGTATTTTAGAAAAAAGAAATTCGTAACATTCCTTGCAATGTATTCGGGGCCGCATTTACACTTTTGGAGGACATTTCAGACTCTCCTAAATAGACGACATCTTACAATTATCTATCTAAAGTTTCAGCTAAATTTCTCAAGCAAATAACCAGAGCTTCGTAAATTCTTGTATTAACCCTTTAACTGCTGTTGACGAGTCAGACTCTTCGTGCATTTCTTTTCTCAAACTGGAGAATCAGGAGTCTGGCTCCTCGTTCAGTGTGAAGCACTATTTCACAACTTTATTTTTACACAAAGTTCATTTTTAATTTACATTTAGTTGACAATTCCAATTTAATTTGAAGAATTAAAATCTCAAATCAGAGCCGTATTTATACTTTTGGTCCTAGGCGCAACAATATTACGAAGCCTTAAAAGAACAAATCTATTTCGGTTAATTAAATTCACACGTTTTCTTTTTAATTTATTGAAAATAAAAGTCGACATTTCCATGAGAACTTATTTTAATAAATTAAAAATAACACAACATTGGTATGCATATATTTGTATGAAAAAAAGTATAAAAATAAATCAATTCAAGTTTACTCTGGCGACCAAATATTTTATCGCCCGGGGGAAGTCCTTGCACTTTAGATACTCGAAGTATATACCCAAACTGCATAAATAGGATTCTCTGAGACCCCCCTAGACGACATTTAACATTTGGTCGATGGAAATTCTCATCGATGTTGACCTCTTGACGAATAGTGGACCCTCGTAAATTTAACGTTTCCGTTTTCAGCGGCCTCTTGTTTTCATATTATAAATTTAATATTTAAAAATAAGTATTTTACTTTGCAGCTACAACTAGGCTATTGTTAGGTAAGGTTTGAAAATGTGGCTCCAGCTTGCGCTTTATGGTAAATGCGGTCCTGAATTTATCGAATAAACTGAATTTCACTTCATTTAACATTAAAATAGCTTCACTACAAAGTTTAAAGCGATTATTTCTCAGCAAAGTACGCTTCGTTCCGTTCTACTCTAAATCTCAATCGATTACTGTTACAGAATAAGGTTCGAGAGTTTTTCATTCTTCCTCGGTTGTCTTCCCACGAGCTTTCCATGGCTGGTTGAAGCTCGCAGGCCAGAAGCACGGTTGTAGGGTAATATCTAGCAATGGAGACACTATTGTCGAAGTGTCTCCCCGACGTAATTGTCGCCAAGCCTTTGAAACGTCTAACTATTGTCGCGGCGGCGGCGTCTGCGTCGCTGAAAGAGGGTTTCTTCGTGCAAACAATGGCCGAACCCCCACGGCGGCCGCCACGTTTCCTTCTCCGCCTCTTTTGCCTCGAATTCGCTTAAGTAGCTTTCCAAAATTAACGCCCTGCTTGAATTTAGAATTGACTCGCGACCTCCTTCAAACGTTAACCCGCCGTGAGGACGACTTCTTAAAAGAGACGTTAATTGAAGTTTACTTCATTCTCCATCGTTGAAGAAATTGCTAATCTTTCAACATGTTCATGAAACAGTTACTACTGCTAGAGTTCCTTGTCACCGAAGAGACTGCGGATTTGTCACCGAAGGCACAAAAATACAGAGTGCACGTAATAAGCAAAAATATACAAGTAAACCCAAAATATAGTACTCGTTGTAATATTTAATGAATAAAAAAACTCATAAAAATCCGCAGTCTAGATATCATTAAAACGTTCAGGGCATGATTGCTGACATGATCCATCGATGGGATCGTTCAGAATAATGGCAAAAAAGATTAAGTGAATGGTGTGATCCAACGGTGGATCGCCAGATTTTCAGATTACATACTGAAAAATTAAGTGTTAATGATAATACACGGTTCGGTGATAAGAAACGCTGTTCAGTAGTGAGCGTTTCGTGAATTTCGCTGCCGTCCTGAACGTGTTAATACTTATGTTAATGGTAGATACCGACTGTAACTGAGCACGTTAGGAAAAATTGGCTTCCATTGTATTTGCATCGGTACGAGACAAATTTTATAGTCACGTTTCAAATTACACGAAAATTCATTTTTGAAGAGTTGGCAATAAGTCATTTTGCCTTGATTAGTCATTTCAGTGTTAACTGCTAGAATTAGCTTATTACGCATACGAGATTAGGATACAGCCATAAACCGTATCACGCTGGCAAACTGTTGGAAATGAAAGAAGAACTGGCTACGTTATACACGGTGTTCCTGGAGAACTCCAAAAATTTCCACTTCTTTGTCAGGAAAAACGTTGAGACGGAGCTTCAATAATAACCAAAAGGGAGTGAGTTAACTAATGCAAACTCCATCCTCGCCCCTATGCCTCCATTATGCAAATATCAAAGCGTGTCTACGAGACGAAAAAGATAAGATTTTTGAGACAATTGCCGATTTTAACATTGATTACACCGAGTTTAACCCTTTGAGAACGACAGACTTGTGTATACGTTCACAGAACACTATGAACGCAACCAATAAACTCATATTTTTAAGGAATAAAAATAGTTGGCGTGATCATGAACTCACGTACGTATATTTGAGGAAAATGCAATTTTGATATAATTTAGTTTAAAAAAAGAAATTGAAGTAGTGGCGCGATAATGCGTTATACAAGTAATCAGTATATCTTCGGAAGATCAAAATTTTATCCGCATCATTCACAACCCTTTCGTTACAGGACTGTGGAACGATTTAGAGTAGGTAATTGAAGACTTTGGCGCAGGAATCGATCACCTCAAAAGATGAAGATTTTTCCTAAAACTCAGAAATTGAATTTATCTATCATCCCCACGTTCTAATTTAAAAATGACCAAAAATTGAAATGGCCGATTTTTGCAGAGAAGTCTTCAGTTCTCGTATATTTGGCAGTATCTCTCCTGTGAAAATTAGGAAAAGTCGATAGTGGATCAGGAAACAAAGGTTCATGACGCTTTTTGCAATTCCTCCTACATACTTTGTCTACTTTATTTCAATTTCATTCGAAAGCAATGGTTGTTTGTATACGTACTATACAACTTGGAAGAATTTTCACGGGAAATAGGTGACTCTACGAAGGAAGGATAATATCGTTTTCGCCGATTTAACACAGTTTTAAAGTAACAGGCGTCGTTGAACCGAAGTAGGGCGTTTTGCGCGAGAATCAGAAACGAACTTTCATCCAACAGTTTCCGGCAAAGAAACCGTTTCTGCATAGTTGGAATGCGGCGTGCAATATCGCACTGTACAGCACAATTTGCATAATACCCAGCCTGTTCAAAGTTCTCGACTTTTTGTCCTTCTATTTACCAGTTACGTGAAAAACTTCATAAGCATCTCGATTATCTGGCACACGGTTCGTTTTCCCTCCCCACGTTTGTCCATTTTCCATCGATTCGCCACCGATTTGAGAAAAACGCGATAATTGACGATTATTCTTCGAGTTGAGTAAGACGAAGGGACTAACGTAAACTTGCTAGAAAATGTTACTGTAACGATCACTTGTAATACGCGAATGAATAATTCAGAGGAATAAAACGAATGGTAAATGAATATGCAGTTAAATTGCTATCGTTTAATGGTTGAAATTGAAGCTGAGCGCTATCATCATAACGAAATCATGGTCGCGGTAGAGAAGCTGTTAATTTAACATCTAGCAATGAATTGTTAGGTATGATTCCGTATTCCTGTCTTAGACGAGTCCAACCAGCAATTTCGTTATCGTCTTGTCCAATTATACTTAAGTTGTAACATGATTTTTTTTTTAAGCAATTACAAGGTTGTGGAACTTTGTTCCTCGAGTTTCTTGGCAATTATTCGAAGCAGGTAAGAAATGATTTTGTGAAAAACATGTATACAATAAAGAAGTTATAATTTCCTTCAAGTGGTACTAATTACAACGAAAAGTATAAATTTAACTGCCTTGTCTAATAATTTTATCAACTTTTTCCACTAATTTATATGTAAATCTTTTACTACTTTTTCTTAACATTTCCATCCTCCCTTTAGTTATTGTTTGTTATATTATCTTATCTATTTTTATTTACCTATAAGTATTTTGTATATATTTTTTCAGAGTAATCGTTTTACTCTTGTTTCCTGCATGCGTAACAAATAAGTAAATAGAAGAAAATTGCAATAGAATCATAATTACCGTGGGCGTCTCTGTAATAAGCATGCGTTACACTTCGAAATCTCTCTTGGCCAGCCGTGTCCCATATTTGAAGCTTGATAGACGTATCATCGACGACAACCACTTTGTTCTGAAACACAAAAATCATTCATATCTTCCGTTCAACAAATCGTTCCCTTACCTACGCCGATTTCATAACAGTCACTTGGTTTTCGAAATAAAGGTTTCCCCCTCTGAAATACCAAGAATTCTTCGAAGATTCAGAGTCTCTCACCCTAAAATCAATGCCGACGGTGGTTATGTAGTTGCCAGAAAGGAATCTGCCGTCTCTGAACCGCGTCAGAAGACAGGTTTTCCCGACCCCGCTGTCGCCTAGTAGCATCACCTAAGTTGTACGAAAATTCTCTGTGAAAATAGCCAAGTAAGCGCCGGAAAAAATTGGAACTTTACGCGATCAACGACTTCGACCCTTTTTTTTTTGAACGAAATTTCTAACAAAATTCCTCTTTAATAGATTCGTTTCAGGTCTCTGCCCTGGTTATTTGTGGTAGAAAAATGAAATAAAACGAAATTCATGGTTGTACACGAAGAATATCAGTAGCACGTAATTCCAGTTGGATTTTCCTATTTTATTCCAGGAGAACCAGTCGAGTCCAGATAGAAACGTATCACACAACAAGACCAAACACATTGACTTGATTATCTTATTCGTAGAAACTGAATAGACGAAGTAAACGTGTAATTAACGGGGTTTCAGAGATATCGCGATCAAGTTTGATCTACGATCCGGCTGAAATACGCTGAAGTATGCAGAGCGCGCGTAACTTCTTTTCCTGTTCGATTACGAACTCGGCGAGAACCACCTACTTGCGATTAATCGCCGCAAATCATCGATCGTAAATTACGACCGCGAAATGTGGACTACTTGCTACTTAATTATCGTGTAAAAGGGCAACTGGATGTGGCAGAATCGATGGTTTCTATGAGGCAATAGACACGATTTGTCAGTGGCCATTGAAAAGTCTGAAACTTGTTAGGAAACGGATAGATTTATCGAATACTGTAGTTATTGGAAAACTTTTAACTTCAGGTAGGTAGAAGTTGTTTTCTCTTTAACTTGGAATTGAGAGTTGGTCCTTTATTGGAAATGTTAGCCTTCGCAGCATTTCAGTATTTGCTGATTGATCTTTCACAATGTGCCCGTCAATGTGTTTGGAAATGAAAAGACGCGACCTAATTGAGAAACTCGATAGAATTCACTTGGTTCTTTACTTTATTAATCATTGAAGACCGTATTTCTATAGATACATTAACTGTAGTTCTACTACTCCGAATCTCGTTTTAACATTTTTCTGACCAAACCCATTATTACACATCCGTATTTTCAGTCTTTCTGACCTGAAAGCCTGTTTGAAACAAGTATTCGATAAACTTCGATGAATCTCATAGGCATGTTTCCTTCGGAACACCTAAGACCGCGTTTCTACTTACTACTTTATTCAAAAGTAGTTCCAGGACAAATGAAGCAAAATACAAATTATTGTACATTTAGTCGCCTTTAAAATAATCTTCCTTGCGTTCCTTGTGAAAGTTTCCATTTGGAAAACAGAAAGAAGTCGCATGGTGCTTTCAGACCGATGACATTCGAATTTTTATACAAAAAGTCTTGAACAAGCATCGAAAATGCACAAATCTATGCAAAATGCACCAGTTGTTTTCCGTAGATTTACAAAAGCCACGTGACATTCAAGTAATATCTTTCATTAACCCTTTCACTACGGCAGATTTTGGTTAGTGACGCAAAATCTCTTGTTTAGGCGGTATCGTTTTAGAATTTGAAAAGGTTAATAGTTTGACCAATCAGTACGAATTCTTCCTATAAAAGAAAGTATATCCTGGAACCTTTTAAACCAAGTAGTACACATAAAAATGCGGCTTAGACTCATGCATAAATGACCCAACGGAGCCGCGAAAGGCTACTCGAAGCTCTTTCGGCGCTCAATCGAGCCTCTTTCCTCGCAGGCGGGTATCAGGAGAGAGGGCAGGACCTTGAAAAGGAGCTCGCCATGTTCGGGTGAGGCCTGTTGGCCGGTCGAGTCGATGCTGTCCCGCGAGGACTGCCGCCTAGTCGGGCCCATCGTCTCTTGGGGCCGGCTGTACGCGCTCTGCGAAGTGGAGGGGGTAGCTGGGGCCGGGCCCCTCGCCCCACTACTATTCCCGGGCCCACTCGACCAATCAGAGCCGGTTGAGCCGGTTCTCCGCGGGCCGTGTCTGCTCGAACGCTTCGTCACACTGCGTAGCTTTTCCTCCACGGTGCTCATGGGCCCCTGCTACCGGGAGCACCAATTTGCTCTTCTTCTTCTCGGCCACTCCTCGTCACGCTCGTCGTCGTCGTGGTCGTCGTTGTGGTCGTTGTTGTACTCGTCGTCGACTCGCTTCTTTCTGCTTCGCGCGCGGACAGCCCGCGATCACCTCTCGCGTCCCTCTGCTCCCGAGGTCAGTCAACCCAGGATCAGAAGTGGAAAGGGGACGGCGTTTCACTTTGCGCCTCTTCTGCCTTCCGCTTCGCCCGCTCCTTCGTTCGCCGACCGATCAACGGACGCCGAGTGAAAGTCCGCGCGTCGCGACCGATTGGATCGACGGCGGCCGGATCGACGCGTTCAGTGGCGCGGCTCTGCACCGCGCGGGGCACTTAGGGGACACCTGGATTTAGAGGAACCTCGTCAGTTTGTGTGTCGGTTTGGACGTTTTATGCGAAGGTCTTCGGATTGGGGAGAATTTTTCGTGGTTTGAGGTGGGAAGAGTTGTTGGTAGTTTTTGGAGAGGAGCAGATTTGTTGAAACAATGCTTTAGATTATTCATACTAGGATCTTAAGGCATAATTAGATTTATAGGAACCTGATGAGTATAACAGTGTGGTTTAGATATTTTATATTTAGATTTTTAAAAATTTAGATGACTGAACTGAGAAGAGTTGTTGGTAGTGTTTGGAGAGGAGCAGGTTTATTCGTTGAAATAGTGTTTTAGATTATTCATCCTAGGATCTTAAAGCACAACTGGATTTAGAAGAACTTGAGTATAATACTATAGCTTAGGTGTTTTATATGGAACATTTGGAAGGCATAAAATTTGGGTGATTGAGTTGAGAAGAGTTTGGTGGAGTACTTTTGAAAGAAGTAGGTTTGCGAAGCTGAATTTCAGAAGTTCTTGAAATTGGATCTTACAAAACAGCTGGATGCAACAGAACAATACTGTGCAAATTCAGATATCTATTTCGCATTAGGCTTTTCGAAGGTGTAAATTTCAGGCAACTAAGTTGAAAAGAAGAGTTTAACTCTTCAAACAAACATGTTTTACAAACCAGATTCTAGATTGCACGAATCTCTGATAATAGGTACATTGATATCATATTTACTACGTTCATATTAACCGTGCCCATATTTGCACATGTAATCAGAAGTCCTTGTATCTCGGGTACGAAAACAGTGCTAGTTAAACGGCAGAATTTATCAAGTTGCATTGTAAATACATATTCCCATTGGCCGCGGTGATCAATATTCTATTGCAATTGAACCAACACTTCTACCATTGCGTACAAACACATCGATGCATTCTAATTCAATCAGCGGCCAACGAAACAAGCAAATACTCGATTTCAGGTAGCTTGTAACCCGAAAGCATGCGGAGTTCGAGTAAAGATTGCAGCTTTGCATAACACTGTCACCTAAATGCGTACTCATGCGTACTTTACAAAGACATTCTCCATCGTACATCGATTCTGATTTTTCGTAAAAAAAAAAGAGATCCAAAAACAATTTCTAAGTTTGTTAAAAAGAGTTTCATTCAATATGGAGGAGTTTCACTCCGCGCGTGTGCTTCGCCAAGATTTTTGAACAGAAAAGATACGGGATCGGATATTGAGATCTTATTTATTTACTTCCACGAATATAGACCTAGTTACACATAAAATAACACACGCGCAAAGCAGATAAAATATAGATAATTATAAACAAAACAAAATTAACCGAATTTTTCTTCGTTCGTAAGAAGAAAAATTGTGATCCGTGACAATTTTACATTTCGATAGGAGAAACAAGAATTAACAATTGTTGCAAAGAAATTAGCTTGTAATAATGCAATGGTACACCAATAAACAAATAAAATGGAACTTATAAAATGCAGATGAACGATAACTTCGATGTCACATAGAGGATCTATGCAACGTATCCTGCAAACCTCCAACTACTTTTGCACTTTTCGCTGCAGAATCCAACATTCAGCGTCGACGATCAAACTTTGACACACTGGAAACGCGCGAACTGTTCAATCTGAAAAAGAGGCGAGAGTCGATTTTTCCGTTAGCATCGCGTGCCATGGGATCGTTAATTCGCCGTTCGAGGGCAAATAATCGATAAGCCTGGGAAAACAGGCCAGTTCCATCGTCGATGCGTAAACGGAACGACATAATTCGCGGCGACTTGAAAGCTTGGTAATTGCTCGGTCTGTTATGCCGCGGATTGTATAACGGGTCGACACCTATGTTGATCCAACTCGCGCGTCACGCGTTCGCTTACATAAACAGCGGGAAGCGGTATTTTAATTAATCCGCGAAACACACGAGCTCGTATCCACGTGCATCGCGGTATCACCGTTGTTTAACGATCCTCTCGAATGTTTGACTGAGTGAGTAAATTCATCGACTTCTGGATGAGAAGCCGGCTAATTGGTCCAACGACTAGTTGCGTGGATAACGAACAAGAATATCGGCGTTTGGTATTCTCGATCGTCGATCGAATTAGGTTTTTATTAACCCTTCGTGGGAAAATATAGCGTTTCGTACTCTGCAGACAAGTTGTTTATGTTCAAGTCTGATTTTTTTACTGTTCTAGGCTTTGAAAAAATTTGGAAAAATTCTGGGATACTTGTCAAAGTCTCTGCTACATTATACAGGGTTCGGTACAAAGATTTGATATCAGATTTGTGGCCAATTATCAGTTTACTTTGCAAGTTCTTTGGAACAAGAATTCGACTCCGTTTCTGGATCAATCTAGGAACACGTGTTTGACTTGTATGTTATTGGTATATTTTGAGAACAAATCATATCTTTTTTTCTGGACCCTGTATAATTAA